TTTTCAAAGTATCCATGTTGAATCCACTACCCACATTAGCCAGTCACTTGCTGTATTAGTTCTGAGTTTGTGTAACCAACGTTGTATATGATTATGGTCCTAAAGCTCAGAAACAGTAATGGTAGAAATTCATGTTTGTCAGTGAAGAAGTCATATACTGTCCCAGTGAAAAGGTGAGAGATTTTGACTTAAGGAACGAAAATAAAATCTATGGTAAGAATGCCTATTTATGCATTATCCATGAAGATGGAAAAATAAACCCGTACTTGTCTTGTTATTATATCTAAAATTCAAACATTATTGAAGGCCACAATCTGACAAGCACTCAGCAATGATAAATGGGGCCTCCCAGGTATTAAAGGTCGTGAGCAGCACCCACAGGGCCTTGGGCATGTGCCTCACAAATCAGGGGCACTAACATGTAAAATAGAAGGTAGTACAAATAGGATGTCTACACTAATTCAGATACATTCGGTCGTCGTGTATTTATTCTCACTTTTTGGCATTAAGAATCTTAAAATATACAGATATTTTTCTTAAACTATTTTGCTTTTCTATTACATAGGTCATAAAAGTTAGGATGAGAAGATTCTTCCCCCTATGACTCTTTCCAACATAAGAATCAAAACCAAAAAGAAACATGGTAGGAAAGAACAAGAGAAGAAAGCAAGGAGGAGTGAGAAGGCTGGAATAGAGAGAAGAAAGGAGAACATTTTCCAAAGTATCAGTAACAAAATAACTTCTAAACAAACCTTTTCTTTTCTTTTGTTGTTTCTGTTTTTCTAGACAGGGTAGCTTTGAAGCCTATTCTGGAATTAGCTCTTGTAGACCAGGCTAGCCTCGAACTCAAAGAACTCTGCCTGCCTCTGCCTCCTGATTGCTGGGATTAAAGGTGTGTGCCACCACCATCTGGTCAAACAAATCATTTAAAAAACTTGAAAGTGTGGTGATCTGAATGAGAATGGCCCCATAGGCTCAAATATTTAAATGCACAGTCACCAGGGAATGGAACTCCTTGGGAAGGAGGAGGAATAGGTGTGGCATGCCAGGCCCAATGTCTCTATCTCTGCCTGCTGCCTGCAGATCAGGCTGTAAATCTCTTAGCTACTGATCTAGTATCAGGCCTGTCTGCTCCTTGCCATGGCGACTATGGACTAAGCCTCTAACACTGTAAGCAAAACCCCATTAAATGCTTTCTTTTATAAGAGTTGCTTTGGTCATGGTGTCTCTTCGCAGCAACAGAGGGATGACTATGACAGAAGGATAAACACACAGAGATTCAATTGTATACACTGTAACAGAAAGTATAGTTTAGCAAGTCTACACAAAAATCTAGTCAAATATAGGGACTGAAAATATTTGAAGCCTTCCGAAGACATTAAAAACGTAAAACCCGCAGCCTAAACGGCAAGCATAACTTTATTACATGAAAAGGAGAGGAAATCATCCCAGGCACAGGGGCAGTATGGGTAACAGTATTAAAAAGGAAGAGGGCCGGGAGACGGCTCAGTTGGCAGTGTTGCTGCTCAAGGGGAGATATGAATTCAGATCCCTGGTGCCCATGCAAAGGGTAGAGCAGAGGCCTTGTCATCACTGCACTGCAGACACAGAGGCAGGCCAACCCCAGGGACTGCTGGCCAGACAGCTTAGCCAGTCTGTGAGCTCCAGCTTCACAAGAGAACTCCACAAGTGAGGAGGAAGCCTGAGTCAACCTTGGCCTCTACACACAACAGTAATACAGAGGGCCTGGGACAGGGCTAGGGAGGCTGAAACAAAGCAAGGAGGGGACCCATGGGCAGAGGACACTGGACAGTAAGAACACCTAAAGCAGTGGGAACAGTGAAATCAAAACCACTCAAGATTAAATTGAAGCAGAGATCAGAAACAAAACACAAAAGACAAAAAAAGTTATTAGGTTCTTGGTCAGACTAAAGCCCTGAAAATGTGCCATAAAATGACCGACAGCTCTACAGGAGCTCAGCTATCTAAGAACACAGCATAAGAAATAGATGGATTGGGAAAAATACATATAGGTAAGAGTTAACATAGCAGACCCAACTTCCCAAAAAGCCTAGAGGAAGAAGGGCTCTTGCCCAGCACCTACGTCGACAGGCTCCCACTTTCTCTAGCACAGGCAGAGGGCTTGCCATGTCTAAGCTGTGCAGAAACCGTGTGGTTTAGGCCAAATAAGTGTTTTCATCTAGGGAGTCTGGTATTCTGGAACAGGCCACAGAAAAGAAGCTGCTCCTGCAAGCACCTCCAGTACAAATCATGGGAGAGGAACCTAACAACTGGCAGTATGTTCCCTGGCTGGCAGTGTGCTAAAGGTGTCCCGGCTCCTGGCTGCAGGAGCTGTGTGTTGTGTGTCCATGGAGAGTGGCCTGACACCTTGTGTGTGCTCTCCCCAAATCTGGTCCTTCCTAGCCCCTCTTGACCTTGCTCGAGTTCTTTCACTGCGATCACTTGGAGCCACAAAGGCAACTATCTTGGGAATCCTAGGTTCTAAGTCCTCACTGCTCCTTTATAAGAACTATCATTGAGGGTGGCTTGAAAAAGAAAATGAATTAAAAGTAAAATTGTTTGGTTAATAGCATCACCTCAGCCCCTAACATTCTTATCCAAAAAAGTCTGGAATGCTTGTTTGGAGTTACCAGGATTTTCATATAGTAGCATATTATTGCAGCGATGTTTCTTGGAAATTACAAGTCTGAGACCACTTACCAAAGCAGGTTCCAAAGCTTAGAAATGTATTCCACAAACAATATTCACAACAGCCACATGCAGAGACACAGAGGAGTCAGTCAGTCTGTGGCAGTGGCTCCTAACCTTCCTAACACTGCAGCCTTTCAACACTGTTACTCATGCTGTGGACCCCAACCATAAAATAAGCTCGTTACTACTTCATAACTGTAATTTTGCTAGCGTCATGAATTGTAATGTAAGTATCCAATATGAAGGATATCTGACATGTGATCCCCAAAGGGGTCGTAACCCACAAGTTGAGAACCATTGGTCTACAGTCTACCAGCCTTGCAATAAGCCACTTGGGTAGCAAATCACATCCCATAATATGCTAGCAAACTAGCTCTTTGATTTGATGGAATGATCAAAAACAATTTACAAAATTCCTTGATTTATAGTGTTTGTTGATTCTCATGGTCTAAATACTTCCCCTATGGCCAGTTTCAAGTTTATAGCTGCCTCATAAAACTGTCTATAGAGAGAGAGAGAGAGAGAGCAAATGACCCCACCGCTGGTAAAGAGACTGGATTTCTCCACGGGGGCACAAGTTTACCTCCATAAAGTTAATTGTGAAGACAGAAGTTAAGCGCCCCCTCCTTGTTTGGAAATGGCATTTCACTCTGTAATTCAGGCTGTGCTCAAACTCCTCCCTTTCCACAGACTCGTGTGGGTGGATGCTTGGCCCATAAGGAGTGGCACTATTAGGTGTGGCCTTGTTGGAGGAAGTGTGCCACTGTTGAGGCAGGCTTTGAGGTCTCCTTTGCTCAAGCTATACCCAGTGTGGGACATAGTCTCTTTCTGCTGACTGTGGATCAGTATGTAGAACTCTCTCAGCTGCTTCCCTACCTGCATGCTGCCATGCCAGCCATGATGATAATGGACTAAAGCTCTGAAACTCTAAGTCACCCCACTTAAATGTTTCCATTTATAAAAGTTGCTGTGGTCACAGTGTCTCTTCACAGCAATAGAAGCCCTAAGACACTCAGCTTCCCCAAAGCAATGTGCCTTACCCTCTCTGAGAAGTGGATGATGGGGGAGGTGGGGTGGAAAGTGGAGGGGATGGGAGGAGGGAAGGGAGTGGGAACTGGGATTGGTATGCAAACTATTAAGGTAATTAAAATTTAAAAATTTACATACATTAATTTTATACAATAATGGATTTTGCCATCTTAATGCTTCTTATTCTTATTCAGATTTGTTCCACATTTCCTAAAAACACTCCTTAAGCACGCTCAATAAATGTGCTGGCTTGAATAAGAGACACAGGCACAAACTACCCAGGGCATGACAAAGCACAGCTCTTAAATCTATACACATCAAGTTTTGATGATTTAGTCATTTGTAAATCTTTCAACTAGTATTGTAAAAATAGAATATATTATAGCTAAAAGTATCTAAATCTTTATTTGTATTTTTAGATTTTGTCAGCGGTCTTGTTCAACTACATTCTAAGATATCTGGCTGGCATTTGTGCATACACATGGTCCAGGGCAACATCTGTTCAGAGGACCAGCGGCCCAACTTGTTCACACAGCTTACCGATGCATTTAAACTTAACTACATGAAACCATTTTATTAATTTTACTCGTGTTGTCAACAAAAAATCAAAACCTGATTATTTTCCAACTTGGACAGCAAACTCTAAGCACAATGCTTCCTACCTCCAGAAGCTCTAATGCTGTAAGAGGATTTCCCAGTGTACTTTGGAAAATATTAACTGCAACAAATCATCTTTCAAAGATGCAAGGTCAAAGGAAAAGGATCTGCTGTGCTCTGCCCTCCACTGTGCTTCACGTCAGAGGCCTAATGGCATTTCCTGCGAAGTAATTTAAACCTTTGCACTGTCACACAGAGAGGAGCAGCAATTTGGGGCCAGATGTTTCACTTTTCTCATAGAACATATTTAGTAAAGCCTGGGATAGAAAAAGACTTTTCTAAGTATCTCATCATGAAAAAGTAAATTAGGCAGGAACCCTCAGACAAAGCCTGAACTCTAAATTCTGGTTCTCAATTAAGCGAACTGTTATCACTAAGTTTAACCCATGCTCATGAGGAAGCCCATGGAAACCAGGCACAGCCAGTTTAGTGGCAGCTGGGAGGCAAATCAGGGGCTCTAGAAATGGAGGGCCATCCTGACAGCACAGGAAACGGCGTCTTCCTGCTCACAGGTTAGGACCACGCCTAGAAGCACGCACCACAGTCTTGGAGCAAAGGAGCTATGTACAACTGTCTGTGAGTAAGCAATCAGAAGCAGATACCTGTATCAGAGAACCTGCGTTCCAGGGCGTGGAGATCAGGCAGCACGTGGATACAGTTAATGCAGCAATACGTGAAGAAATCGAGGACAACCACTTTCCCACACAGGTCCTTGTGAATGGAGAGAGGCTCTTCTGTGTTCAGCCACTCTAACCCTGGGGTTTACAAAACACAAAATACAACCGCTGAAGAAAACAAGAAAGAACAAGGGGTAATTGACCTACACTGCCCATTAAAATGTGAACCTTCTCTCCAAGATGAGTGCAAGTAGTCACACACTTTAAGAGACGACAGCACTAAAGTCTGTGGTATCTGAATTATTATTCTGTTTCTACCTGGGCCTCATTTCTATTACTAAATAAGAGACCGTCTTCATGATTGTAACCAGGTAGGTTATGTACGATTTAATGAAAAAGCTCATGTGGAGATTAAAGGCTCAGGGGGAAGAAGCAGGAGGAGGGATGGTAACAGGCTGAGAAAGGAAAATCCGCTGTTACGAGGCAACTGCGAGCATAGTAACAAACAAAAAAAAAGTACTAAATTCTCTCAGAAATAGTGGACTAGTCTAGGGGAAGTGAATAAAATCAACACAGTCAATCAAAAACATGAGGAAATAGGAATTATTTTAAAAATCTAACTGCACGCATATGTAGGGTTAGCCCAACCCATTAGGGGGCGTGTTTGCCTAGGGCTAATGTTTACATATAAATCTGGCTTACAGTTTGGCACCCAAAGTGGGGCGCACAGACTCGTGGGGGGGGGGGATTCAGCTATCCGCCAAGTCGCCCTTTAGGAGTCCCGTTTGCCAACTTTCTAGCAAGCGCCAGGAAAGATTGAGTCAGCTGCTTCTGCCGCTGTAGTCGGGCAGAGCGGATTGGCGAGGAGCTGTGTTGAGAGGCGAGGAGCTGTGTTGAGAGGGTACAATCTGTGTTGAGAGGGTACAATCTGTGTTGAGAGGGTACAATCTACATGGAGGGAGAAGCCTGAGGGGGGGGGCCTGGCTCCCAGCGGTCGCCACACAGGAGGCTCTGATTCAGGGCGCCAAACTGTAAGCGTTGTAATAACCAGGCTAGCTTAATATGAAACAGCAAATTTTAATGAAGGGATAGCTTACAACACCAGGGATCCAGCGATGAGCAGGAGATACAAAAAAAAAAGAGCGGGCAGGGCTCACGAACACGCCCCCTAATGGGCTGGGCTAACCCTACACGCATAATTAAATATAAAAGCAATACCGAAAACAAGATCAAGTTTAAAAAGCAGATATGGAAAAGATCAGGATGTATACAAGGGTAAACATAAAGTGCTTAAAATAATTTTACAAAAGAGAAGTTACCATGTTCTAGAGTTGGACGAAACCCTAAGTATAAAATAAAACATTTTAAATGCAAAGTTAGAAGAAACATTAACACTAATGAAGATCATGTTACCTTCCCTCCAAAGAAAAATAGGAACTTAAACTATAGTTTTTTTAATACAGAATTTATAATTAGTTGACAATGACTCAAAATTTTAAACCTTTAGTATGAAGATTTTGTTAAATTAAAAGGTATAGCATCCTTATTTAACTCATTTAAGAAAGCAAGGATATTTATTGCTTATAAGTAAATAAACAAAGCTATTAAAGCACGAATTATAGCTCAAAGCAGACAGAAATAGTTTAAAGAAACTAAAAGCCATAGTTGGATAGGGAACACAGACACAGGAGTCCCCTCTGGTCCTGTCCGCGGTACAGAGCCTGGTCAGTGGCCCTCTTGCATCTTTACATGTTGCCTTACTTAGCCACATTCGAGTTCCAGGCACACAGCAAAACTGTGCAGTTCTTTTTCCGTGTTCAAAATCTGATGGGTTAACATGCACTCTCGCTACAGACCTCAGAACCACAGCACAGGGCTGCTCTGTAGAGTCAGGAAAGTCACCTTCTCGTTTACAAGAGGAACTTCATGGCTTCTTTGTGGAACAGCCAACAATCATCATCACTCCTGCATTTTGGGCCATTATGAAGTGGAATAGACTATCTGGGCACAAGCACTGATCTGAAAACCAAGACAACGACTGAATGGCTCATGGTGAGGAGCAGCACACACGACGCTGGGATGTGGACAGGTTTGGCTAGTCATGAACAGACAGAAGACGGACATGCTGGAGAAGACACAGGAGAGCACAGTTTCACCGTGCTACTTAGAATAATGTACAACTTAAAACTTAGGGAGAGTTCTTTTAGGGAACTTTTCATTTACTATTTTGAGGTGATTAACTAGAGGGTTCCTGAAACCAGACATAAACGGAGACTACGGTAGCAAAGAGGACGGCCAATAACGGGAACTACAGTTATTCCATTATAACAAAATTCTAGAAAGGATTGATTATCTCAAATCAAATTAGAATTTCCACCAAATACTTTAAAGGTCTCAAGGTTCAATAAACATTTAATTATTTCTCCTTATAAGTATTATATACCTAATTGATGACACAAAACTATTAATTAAATCAACTAATTAACACGTATTTCACATCCCACATGCAAGAAATTTAAGATTCTGTCTCTATAAATTGTTAAAAGCGACGTATTGAGGACACAGAGTGTTATCACATTGAAGTTACTGTGCTAGGTGTTCACAGATATAATAATGTATTTTCAGCAGCAATGATTACAACGAAAACAATGACTGGCCAACTCAGTAAGTCTCTGTTACCCTTCGAATATGCCTGAATTCCCTCCACATAATAACCCTGTAAATAAACCTTAGCTCCACTTTACAAGCAAAACAAACCAAGACCTGGAGAAGCCAAGCAATGTGTTGAAAAGCAAAAGGCTAACAAAGAAGGAACAGGGGCTTAGTGTTGGTTGGCCTGGACCCGCCCATCAGACTGCAGGTGGCAGCTTCTAAGGCATGGGTATTCTCTCAGTTATCACTGAGCTACAACCGCTTCGTTCATTTTTAGCGTGCTGTCCTTAACAGTCGAGTCCAGCAGACTATCAAGCTATCTGGAAAACAAAGTCCGATTATTTCTCATGAGTATGCCTTGAGTCACAGTGGTCAAATACCACAGTAGTAAAGCAAACTGAAAGGCTCTCCCAGAAGTCTAGCCGATGGCTTGCTGGTTTCTAACAGTGTATTTCCTCCTTGCTTTATTACAAAGCTTTCAGGCGATATGGATACACCTGTATATATGTCTTTGCTATTCTGAAGTTTCTCTGATGGGATAAACCTCTACACGGCCATGTTTTTTCAATTCCACACTATTTTAAATCCACTATAATAATAAAGGGGGAAAGGTGGCAACCCCCCTTAAGTCAAGTGCAAAAGGGTAAGAAAGACACTGACATTCAAGACTGTTGTGGGATGGAAGAGGTACTGATACATCCTGAGGGACGTGAACCCTGCCACAAGTGACCAATTAACTATGCATGCGGTTTCAGTTTCCCGCCAGGACCCACGCCAACAGCAGCAAGATAAACAATGACACTCCCAAGCGAAGGTAAGGCAGCATTTTGTTTAAACTACACTGCTGGGAGTATCTATTTCCTCGTGCTCTGACACCCCCACAGCTAGGATTCAACCCTGGCTGCTGAACTAAAAAGGACTCCAGTTTTTAAAACTCAGTAGGTCCGCCACCGCTTTGAACGTGGAAGCGCGCGCGGCAGGGCTAGAAAAAGCATCAGCTCTGAGGTCTGCAGAACGTAGTGCAGTTCGACTCTAGTGTTATCAAATGGGCAGTGCCCTAGTCCTCCTGGGACTCAGTTTCCTTAACTGTAAGGCAAGACACACAAGAGCGCCCTGGAGGTTGTACCGAGCCTCAGGGAAACTCCCGGAATGCTTAAAACAGTCTGTGTTGCACGTAGAAGTGATCGATAAACATCGACGGGAATAAGAAGCGGTGAAGCTGGGATAAGACACGAAGGGACAGGGTGGTCCGGGTACCCCGGTCACTGGAGACCTAAGCCACTCAACATCCCTGAGGTCATGGGAGGCAGGCCAGGCAGAGATGCGAACACTGGTCCTCACCCTCCAGAGCACCCCGCGCCCCCGCGTGTTGCCACTCTGGAACTCCTCAGGGACGTGGGCGGATCGCAGGGACCAGCGCCCCTGCCAGCAGGCGGGAAGGGCTCCGTCCCCCACCCCGAGGAAGGGGAGGACCCGCGAGGGGCCCCGTCCCCGACGCCAGCCCCTCACCTTCCGGAAACTCGGGCACCGCTAGGTCCTGCTCCCAGCCGTCCACCTTCTGCAGATACTGGTAGATCAGGTCGTCCTTCTCCTGCTGGGTGACGGCGTCCAGCAGGGCGTACTCGAGCGAGGTTTGCGCGGGCAGCAGGCCCGAGAGGCTCGCACTGCGCGCTGCGGGGGCCGCCATGTTGGGCGAGCAGCCTAGGGCTCCGGGATCGAGGGCGCGGCTCGGACCGACGCGCCGCCGCCCTCCCGCCTCGGAGCGGTGCCCGGCCCGCCCCGATCTGCGCCACCCACGTTTCTGTCTACCCTAAGCCTTCGTTCTGACGCCAGGGGCCAAAGGGCCGTGCTTCCCCAGCGCGTAACCAAACTCCTGCGCGGCCCTCCCCGCCCCTTCCAGGTCTCGGGCCGCCGCCGCGAAGCCTGGACGTTCGGAGCGCCAGATTCGACACGGGAAAGGCCGCCCAGGTCGCGCCCTAGAGGGGCTGGGGAACCCATTCCCTTTGAAGCCCAGAAGGGTTTCCAACATAAATAAAATCCAAATTAAAAAGATCCTACTTGAGAAAAACAAAACAAAAAACTCCTCAGTTGTTCCACTGTTACACCGCGATCAGCCGATTCGGCACGGCAGTTCCCGCCAAGAAAGAGCTGAAAGGTAAAGGGGGCGAAGGAATCCTCAAAGGAGAAGGGTCGTTATTGTAGGGAGTGAGGCCAGTGGTTCTGTGTCAACAACACCAATAACAACAAGAGTATCCTGTCACTCTGGCGGTGCTGAAAGTGCCGGAGCGAATGGCATGTCCCGCGGGGGGGGGAGGGGAGGCGGCGCGGAGAGGCAGCTGCAGCTGGTCCCGGGCTGCCAGCCCAGGTGCACCCACAGGGATGCCAGGGCGAGCCGCTGGGCTGCAGAGGGCACCGCGCTTTGGGAGCTGTCAGTGCCTAACCTGAGAGTCACTTCTGACCCCCTTCCTTGGCCTTCCCCCTCCCCGATCCAAAGGAAGGGGCTGCGGAGGAGCCTGTGTGCGTTTTTTGTACTTGACCTCTCTGGACGTCAGGACAGGGGGCTGATGACAGGCCCTGCGGTCTGGAGTGCAGTGTGGCCTAAGTCTCACTCGTTTGAACTTTGTTCCCTGTGCAGGGTCTGGTCCTATGGTGGAGGAGAAATGGAGTCACCCGGAAAACTGAAGCCGATCGGATCTCCATGAGTCACAAATAGGGGCAGTTTTGTCACCAACACACCTCTTTGATTATGGTGTGGCTTGTTTCAGTAGTGACCTGAAGCACCCGATTGACAAGGAACTGTGACCCAACTTGTGAGTGGGCGCTTGCTTGCCCACGTGAACGAGAACCAGGATAGCTTCAGTACAGTTATATGGAGCCTGTCTTAAAGTTGTTGGGCCGATACTTCTCAACCATGCTTAATTTTCAAGGCATTATTGATTCTTATTTTTATGAATTAAGTCCTGGAAAAGAAAAAAAGTTCTTGAATGAAACAGTATCGCACTGTAAAGAAAACAGTACAGACATTAGCCTGTGGTAGGGCCTCTTATTTATTGTGGTATAAACGGAGCAGCGTGTTGTGTGCCTATATCGATCATCACCAAAGGTTTAGAGTCCCACCAAGTTAGTTGGCTTTTGGTTATATTTGTTCCTATTAAAAACTGTAGCAAGGAGAGGACTCTGAATTTACTAAAGGCTCACGTACTCATAAAATCATTTGCCATGTTAGAAGAAGACACACTTTGGGAGAAAGACATCTGGGAATATAAATCTAAACGAAAACCAAAACCAGCACATCCAAATAATTGTTCTCAAAATATCCCAGAATCTGTTGGAAAAGCAACAGATGGAAAAGACCAGTCAAAACGAAAAGGAAACAAAAGAAGAACCACAGAGGATAAAGACAACCCAAAGGGCCCTGGCGTATGCCTTGAAGAAGCAGGCTGTCCGATTTCTGTAGGTGCCAGTCAGAATTCTAGCACTGGAGAGGAGGTTCCGCAGTCTGAAAGCAAAGAGACTACTCCAAGAAAGAGCCGTAGGACGCCCAAAAAGAAACAAGTGTCCCCAAGGGTACGCCCAGTTTACGATGGATACTGCCCAAGCTGTCAGATGCCCTTTTCCTCCTTGCTAGGTCAGACGCCCCAATGGCATGTTTTTGAGTGTTTGGATTCTCCACCAATCTCTGACACAGGTAAGAAGCCCCAGTGCTGTCTCCCCATTGCTGGGAGATGAGAATGTGCAGCCATGCCTGGCTTGTTTATTTAAGGGCTGGTAATATGAACCCAGGCCCTTGTGTGTGCTGCAGGTACTTTATTGACTGAGCCATCATCCCAGCTTCTCCGTTACTTTCCATAAATGTTCACTGAAGTTTGCGTGAGCTATTGCCGCTCTGCTTTCTCTTACTTGACTCTTACAAGGACAGCATAAGGTAGATGGCATTAACATCTTATGGATGAGGATTCCTATAAGCTAAATAACCGGGCCAATTTGTTATCCTATTTTAGAGTTCGATAGAAATTATAAACACATTTAGTTTCTAAATATGGGTATATGTATGCATCATGCGTGTTAGTAACCGGAAGAGGAACTAGAAGGTCGTCTGAAATGACTCAGAGTCTCTTAAAAATGTGCCAGCAGCAGAAGTGGTGCCATGTTATTATATTTTAAGATAAATGTCATATTTAACATGTAGAAATTTTTACTTGATCTATATGTAGAATGAGTTATGACTGTTTTTTTAAGTTATCTAAAATTATTTTCTTGTGAAGAGAGTATTTGAAAAGCAATCTAAAAGTATTTGGTTTAAATGTAATAAATAGTACATTGTAAAACTATGTTGGATTAACCTTTGGTGTTTTAATGTTGGTCTCAGTAACAGCTGTCATGCACTTAGACATAGCTATTGCCATAGTTCTTCAAGGCTACCCACGGTGGGCTGGGTGGTAGCACATGCCTTTTATCCCAGCACTTGCAAAGGCAAGTGGATCTCTGTGAGTTTGCGGCCAGCCTGGTCTACAGAGTGAGTTCCAGGAAAGCCAGAGCTATACAGAGAAACTGTCTCAAAAACAAAATAAAATTGTGACCAGTGGTGTTTGTCCTTAGAGGTTACTTTGTTAGTGCTGTCAAAGTTTATGTGTAAAATGATCTTTTTTTTTTAACTATTTTCAGAGTGTCCCGAGGGTCTTCGGTGTACCTGCACAATTCCTTCTCATTTTAAGAAATATACTCACCTCCTGCTTGCTCAGAGTAGGGCTAGCAATGAACCTCTCAGCAGCCCGACACAGGTGTCGGCGCCCCTCAGCAGCCCGTCACACACACCGGCTGGACATTTTACTGCAGCAAAGCCAGACCCTTCCTGTAACCCCGAGGAAAAATGGCCCGTGCATCTGAACACGGAGAATTTAAGGAAAGTTTTAGAGGATTCTTCGTTGCTGGTACAATGTCTAAAAACATCCCAGCTTCCAGCCGAGCCTGACAGAAAGATTCCCCCTTCCACGGGCCCTCAGGTGTCCCTGGTTCCACAACGTGCAGGGTTTGTTAAGGACAAGCTTGTGGGGGGTGATTTGCCTCTTTCCGCGGATGCATTAAATGGTCAAAGCAGCTCCCAGAGTACGAGGGTGCCATCGCCGGAAGACGACAGCGGCAGCTGTGAGATCTCTTACTCCCCGCTGCAGAGTGATGAGGAGACTTATGGCTTCAATCGAGAGCCGGATGATTCACAGCCGGAGCTGTTCTCTACCCAGAGCTCTAAGGACAGCTGCCTGGAAGAAGATGGCTCTGCCATATTTGAAACATTTCTTGATCCCTTCCCGAAAGAGCGAGAGGGAGTCCGCCCGCGGGCGAGAAGCCTGCTGACTCAGGCTGAGTTCAGTGGCTTGTGTGAAGGCAGTGCTGTGAGAGGTTCATTTCAGCTTCCGTCCCGAGGTGCCCCACCACACACAGACACGAGCTTGCTCTTGTTTTCACCTGCATTAACAACAGGGTGTGCTGCTTCTGATGATCAAACCACTAAAGCCAAACCTGGTGAGCCGCGCAGATCTCACTCACTTGGATCAAGCCATCAGACACAGAAAATTGAAACGTCAGCTGTTAGCGGTCAGGTCTCTCTGCCTTTCCGTACAAGTGCCATGTCAAAGCCGCCTGAAAAGGAGGGAGACCACCTGCCTTTGCATCCGACCCAAAGTCAAATAAGAGGGTTAGGGAGTAAGGGCTTGGGTGCTACCATCGCTAACTCGGCCTGTACCTGCAAAAAGGGAGAAAAGCCTTCTGGTGCACCTCTCGCCAAATCTTTGAGCACTTTGCCTTCCAGTCCCAAGTGCAATGCCAGTCAACCTTCCAAGAAGGCAATGAAGCAGATGGACATAGGTGTGTTTTTTGGATTACCACCCAAAAAACAAGCAGAGCCCTCCCCGAGGACAAGTGCGGTAGGTGGGCCAAATGCCAGTCCAGGTGTGAGTCCTAAGGACAAGAGGCGCCCGCTGCACAAGAGGAAAGCGGAAAACTCCCTAAGTGACTTAGAATTGGATTCAGGGAATTTAAATGAGAGTCAGCACTCTACAGAACTGTCCCAAGAGAGGACACAACGTCAAAGGAAGAGACATAAAAAGTCAGATTCACCGTGGGAAGGAGCACCTCAGAGGTTAGAAGTGGGAGCAGTCAGTTTAAACCAAAGCAAAGCCTTTGTAAGCCGGACTCTTGACAGGCGGCAGAGAGGGAGCAGAGGCATTTCAGAGTCGTCTGGTGCCAGGGAAGCGAGAAGAACCTGTCCGTTCTATAAGAGAATCCCCGGTAAGTTGAAATACTGACTTCAGCTTCCCAGCGGAGACACAGCAGTGTTTAACTTCACTTTCCTTGTCACTGGGTGGATATATTTGAAATAATTAGTGTTCAGCATATATTTTATTTGCTCTTTATAACACTATGAATCTTTTAGCAGAATTGAGGCTTTTGTTTTTTGTTTTGGTTTCTCCATTATCACCAGAATTTTATCAAGCATTTATTTTCTATATGCTTCTGTAATGATTAGGTAGCTGTTATAGATTACAGGAAGGCCAGTGAGCAGTGGAGGTTCCATTTAGCTGGAAAGAAAAGACGACGTCGGTGCACATATCATAAAATCCCGTGGCTGAGCACTCCCGAGGCGGCACAGCGGCTCAAGAGAAGGGGAGGATAGCAGGCTGTGCTGCCTCAAGTGCCAGTTTCAGAGCAATCAGAACTCGTGTGTTTATATATTCCAAATGAGTATCTGCCCAGGCCTTCACAGATGAGTTCATACAAAAATGCGCATGGAAATGAATTCTGTTACTAAAGAAACCACTAACTCTTTCAGTGGCATACAATAAGACAGCAGTAATATCCTCAGCTTCTAAATACC